GGCGCGGGGAGAGGTCCGAGGGCGGCCCCGCCCCCGGGGTGCGGACACGCGCAAGCACCCCCACGTCACGCGTGTCCGGCGGAGCGCAAGTAGGCGCTGCACAGCGGGAACCAGGTTCCCTCCCTCCGAGGCCTAGTGTCTGCGGACTTGAAGGCTCAGGACTTGGCAGTGGCGGGTCACCCTCTCCCCCTCAACCGGGGGCCCGGGGCCGGCGGCAGCTGGTCATTGTTTGAGCACAAAGGGCCAGGCGCGGCGGCGGCTGCCCCTCCCCCTCCGCTTCTCTAGTCGGAGCCTCTCCCCAAGACACACTCTCCAGCTTCAGAGTCCATAGGGGTAGGCCTGCGGTCAGCTGCCCGCTTCCCCTTCTGCCGGGGTCCTGCGCTCCAGCACAAGTCTGGGGGCGAGGCTCGGCCCGTGCTTGCCCCACCCGCAGCGGGTCGAGGGCGGCACTCTTGGATTTGCGGAAGTGGCGCCACCTGGCGTCCCGTTCGGAGAACACACCCAGCCACACACTCCCCGCCCCCCCTTTATGGGAATCATACCCCACTCCCCACGACTGTACCCTCTCCCTCGCGAGCCTAGGCCTGTTCCTGGAACGGCTCCGTGCTCCTCAACCTTCCTTCGGAACTATCTGCAAAGACGCTCGGAGAGAGGCTGCGCCTGGTCCCCCAACAATCACTGGGGTGAACTGATCCAAACCTACAGTCCAAACCTACACCAGCCTCACAGCAAACAACATTCTACTGTCTTTCCCAGGGTCACAAAAATTCTCAGCCTCTCGCAAACAAACACAGTCTTTTTAACACCCACGCGGTCTTTCCCATATTAAGTCTCACACATCCACAATCACACACGGCCTCATCCATCACATGGTCCCATGTCCCTTCTTCCTGTAATCTCTCAGGCCAACAGAGGCACACTCTGTGTCACATGCCTTGGTTTGCATCTTTCACATCCAGTCACAATCTTAAATAAATACACTTAGTCTCCTAATCATCTTTCAGACATTGACAGTCTTATTCACAGTTGCTTACAGATAACTTTTTACACATACGCATTGTTTCACAAACATATTCTTCCACACAGACTTTCCCTCAAGGGTCTCTATGACCTGGTCAGGTCAGCTGATGCTGGCATCCCTGGGCAAGGACAGCCTCCCTGCCCCCCAGGGCCAAGGCCTGCCAGAGCTCGGCTCCGCCCCAGGAAGGAGCATCCCCCCCTTCCAGGCCACAGCCCTGGCCGGCTCTCAGCTCTATTTTTAGCTCTATGGAAAGGGTTGTTTTTCTTTTTCCCTGGAAAGGGAATCATAGCCCAGCAACCCTCAGGCTCATCCCAGACCCTTAGCCTCACAAGAACAGCCTGAGACCCCCCTCCCCGGAAGAAACCCCCTCGTCTGGCCTTGTCCTGATCCCAGCCGCCAGGGACACCAAGAGCCTCCACCCCTTCCCGGCAGTCTGCCCAGAAGCTCTGGCAGCAGCTGGGCTCAGCGTGTGTGCAGGGGGCGGCGTGGGGGCGGGGAGGGAGGCACAGGACCGTTGCCCACCGCCCTGGGTAAGGGCTCGTCCTCCTTTCTGCTAGAGGGGGTATGAAGGGATGTTTATACTCATGCATTTCCCTTGGTGGGGGGGCTCGCACTCTTGCGTGGGTGAGCTTTCTGTTCCTCCATTGGGGGTAGAACTCCCAGTCTTGCCAGGTGGTATGGGGTGGTAGGCAGGAGATCCACAGACACTCAAGCAGCTGCTCCCTGGGATGGGAGTACGGGACGGTCGGGGACAGCTGTCCATTGCTACCAAGGAGAGTCCCCCCTCATACCTTCAGGGATGGGGACACCACGAATGTGTTTGTGGAAGGAAAGGCGAGGAGCCCAGGTAACCTCATCCCAGCCTAACAGTCTCCCGTTCGGTGCCACCCCGGCTCTAGGGGGGGTTGTGCTCCCATTTCTGGGGTAGGGCTTATCACCGCTCGAGGCTCGAGACGTAGAATGGAATACGGCCCTTTGTGGAACGGTGTAAACTAGCCAGAGCCTGGGGAGGGGGAAGTCTCCGCGTGTGGCGGGAGTCGGGGGAGTGCAGCTACTAGGCTACGGTACGATCACGTGCTCGGCGCCTGTTTACGTCTCAGTCTTCACCTGCGGGCGGCGGGGAAGCAGGAACCTCCGGATGCGTCCCACTCGGCCCGCCCCCGTCGGCGGTCACCCGGCTGCCCCTCTCCCCCACCCCCGCCAAGTACGCGACAGCAGAGTGCCCTGCCCACGGGAGGGTCCTCGTGGGCCGGTCGCCCTGCCCGAGACTGCAAGGGTAACCCACTGGGCGCCTCCTTTCCTGAATGCACGTGTGTTCATGTGTCCCAAGTGCGTGCGTGTGTCTGTAGGCACGCGTGTGGGCTCCTCGGTGCGAGTTTCCGTGTCGCCTCCCTGTGCAGACTCCCTTGCCTACCCCCCACGGAGTGGGGATCCCCCGCCTCCTCACCCCAACCCTCAGCTTCCCGGGACGGGGAAAGTTCGCTCCAGAGCAGGAATGTGCTGGAGGCAGGAGTTCCTACACCCCTGCAGCCCCACCACTCACCCAGCACCACCTGCACCGCCGCTCCAGCTCGGCTCCTGCTCCAGCGCGGACACCTCCGCGCAGCAGATCTGCCGGCTCCCAAGCCCGCTCGGGCTTAGGACGCCCGCCTGCCCCGGCCTGGTGAAGCTGGGCGGGGCGGCTGAGGCCGCGCCCCCGACCCGGGGCGGGGAGTGGTCTGCCCAGCACCCCCTCAAGAGCCAGTACCCGGCCCAAGAGAAGCTGGACAGTAGCCCAAGGCTGCCCCTCTGGCCTCTGACTTCACCAGCTTCCTGAACTTGGCTTTCAACCTAGGGAAGGGGCGAGCAGCATGTGACCGAGAGCTAAGCTACTGGCCGCCTAACTAAGCTGGGTATAGGTCTTGACTCAGCCACCTTCCCTGCCCCCTAGGGAGCCCAACCCGGTCGACTCCAGCCCACTCCCCAAACTGGGAAAATCCCTTGGAAGCAGACAAAGAAGGCTCGGGTTTCACCAAAACAGCCCTCCCCCGACTTCATCTTGGGCCTGCTCAAGCAGAACCAGCACCACCCTCTTCCCTGGAGTAGGTGTCTGCCCAGGTGAGGAGGCCTGCCAGTTTGGCCCCCACAGGGCATTGCCAAGCTTCCCTTAGACTCATAAAGTCCCACCCACAGGCACAAACAGGAAGTTGGCCTGTATTGCTGGGAGGCACCAAGAGCTCCCCTCCTCCCTGGCACCCAGTGCAGCCTGTGTCTGCAGGTATCTGGGCCATATTTGCAGTCTGAGTACTTGGCCTGTAGGACACTCCAGGAAGTTTAGTACCTTCTTAAACCTACGCACACTAGAGAGGAAGCTGCTGGAAGACCAAAGCTGCCCCCTCACCCTGGAGACCCTTCCTCTCACCAAGTGTGACATAGTGTCAGTATGAGGACAGGGCTGCAAATCCAACTGGACTTTGCTTGGCCAGGCTCTCTCTGAGCTCTCAGGGAGATTTTTACATCTAGCTGGCGATAGGCAGAGTCGGTCCTATCCCAGGTAATGTCCACTTTGGCTGGGTATGTGGACAGTGGCCCTTCAGGGACCTTACACAGGTCCTAGGGGGTCCCCCACTGCTTTCTAGGTTCCAGGAGCTCCTGTACATACTTTGGTTATATCTTGATACCGGGAGTTTAAAGCAGGTGTGGAGTGGAATGTGTTTGTGTAGGGGGTGGGGCTAGGGGTATTTAGCTTCCCCTCCCCCTCATCATTCTGGTTTGTGCTGTGTGGGGGTGTCTGCTAGGAGGGTGAGGCAAGACAAACAGGCAAGTATGGATCTATCCCTGTATCCCCAATTCCCACAGAGACCTCAGAGGTCTCCTCCTAGAAACCTCTGAGGACTTCCCGAGAACACATCTGGGTTCTGGGAGAGCAGAATGTCGAGCCCATGTCCTTATAGGCAGGAATGACCTGGTGTTCTGAGTCTGGAAAGCATGGCTGACGTCCAATGTTATAGACCCTGGATAAGGCCTAGACCAGCCAGCGGCTGGGAATGATTACTGCAGGATTAGGGAGGCCTGGCTCCAGCCAGTCTGGGAGAGAGACCCCCAAGAAAGGAGGCCCTGGAGGAGCTACTCCCACCCCTTCCAGGGTGTCCCACAGAAAACAGCTCTGCAGCAGCTTTTTTCTGGGGTCTTCCCAGGAGACATTTGTGGTCACTGTTCCCACACTCTGCAGACCAGAGACCCCCTACCCTTCCATAGGGTCCCAGAAGCACCCCCTCAGGTTGACAGGGAGAACCTGACAAGGCAGCCCTGCTTCCAGGGAGCAGAAAAACTTTCACTCTACCCTTACAAAAGGCTTCCCCCCAGCTTCCTGAGAGCATCTTATGTTCTCACCACTCTTTCAAAAACGAATAGGCAAATCTAAAGGGAAACCGGGACTTTAGAATAGCAGGGGAAGTGAGATAGGAAAGTGTCATCATTTAGGTATACTAGTTCTGACAGGGTCTGTGGATCACCTACATTACAATTTCCTGCAGGGCTTGTCAAAAATGAGGATTCCTGTACCCCTCCCCAAATTCCAGAATTAGAAATGTACGTGTGGCAGGATGGGCGTGGGGAGCAGGGCTATGTTCTGTATTTTTAACAAGATCCCCAAGAGCTATGGTGTGCACTAATACAACAGAAACACTGGGAGTACAAGGAGAAAAATGGGTGAGTTCGAGATAAGAATACGCTGAGCCAAGCCCACAGTGAGGAAGGCCAGCACGTGGCTTACACCAGAGGGACAGCTGGTCAGGCAGGAACTACATGGAGTGCCTCAGGGAAGTTAAGGATAAGAAGAGGAGGTGGTGGTGGTGCAGGGGGGTGAAGGCCCTTCAACTCCCCAGCTCCCTTGGGAACCCACAGCTCAAATACTGGAAATGGTGAAGGGACCCATCCATCCCCAAACCAAAGTGAGAGGAGAGTCCAGTGATAGACTGGGGACACCTGGTGGACAAATAAGAAAAAGCACAGAAACAAAGGCAGGGGGAAAAAAAATTTTTTTTTTTTTTTAAAGTAAAACTAGAAAAGGCTCTATAAAAATTCATGGCTGCCTCTACCCCAGAAGCATTGCCTGCCTGAGGCAGCAAGCCTTGGCATCAGTATCCAGGGGGCAGGCACTCTGGGCTCACAGCTTCCTTCTGTGACTCTGTTGCTAAGCAATCCAGGGCGAGGTGACTCCCAGTTTTGGGGCCCTGATATTCTAGGGCCAAGCACCTAGGATGCCAATTCTAGCAAATGCCGTCTCACGACAGGCTTCACAGAGTGAGGAGCAGAGGAACTGGCACCTACCACGTCACCCTTTGGCTCTGAAAGCCTCAGGTAGAGTTCTGACAAGGAACTCCTCATTCCCCTCCAGGTTCAGGGGCCTGACCTGTTTTAACTCAACTTGGTCATTCCCACCTCAGGGCCTCTGTACTTACTCTTCCCGCCGCTGCGATCCCTTCTTCCTTCAGATGTTCACATGGCTTGCTCCTTCTGGTTCTTTCGGCCCCTTCTCTAATCCCTCTGCTCAGAGACACGTTTTCCCACCACTTAAACTAGCCTGCAAGCACTATCACACTATTGCTGTGTTCTTTATAGCGCTTTTTACTATCTGAAATTATGTTTTCTGCTTATTTGTTCATTGCTTATCTCTTCTCCCCCATCAGAATGCAGGTCTCATGGAAACAGGGACCACATCTGTCATGCTCAGTGCTCTATCCCGAGGACCCAGAACAAAGCCTGGTACAGAGTAGGTTCTCAGATATCTGTTAAATGGAATTCTCTCATATGGAACGCTGCCCTAGCCGAGGCCCCTCCGACTGAGAAGGGCCCATAGCTCAGCACCACTGTCAGTGGTCAGAGGGCCAGGAGTCTCTGCCCCAGCCTGTCCTGCCAGGCTTATTTCAATGTTCAGCTCTGCACTACCCGCACCATGAAGGCTGACAGGTGTCTGGCTGCTAGGCGTTGGGGGCCTGGTCCAGGCAGGTCTCAGAGTTCTGGGACACAGCCCCCTTTTTGCCAGAAGAGGGCTTTTTGGCCACTAATCCATTGTCATCCTTGATCTTTTTGAGTCGGGCCTTGCTCTTTGGCGGGATGGAGAAGGTGAGGGAGCTCTTGTTGAACTCAAGTGGGAAGACACCTACATCTCCATCAAAGCGGTTCTTGGACACCTGCAGATACCGTTTCCCTGGCCCAGTTACCAGCCTCCTGTCCTGTAGGATCAGAACGTTGTCTGCTTCTTGGCTTGCCTGGGGGTTGGGGGACAGAAGGAGGAAGGCGGGCGTGAGAAGACATATGAGAGAAGCAGAAAGGAAGGCTGAAGGCGTGGGGAGAAGGGGCAAGAATGGGAGAAGGGAAAAGTACCTTCCCCATCAGCATAGCTCTTTCAACTATTGACTATGATGCTGGGGCCACTTCAGTCTTTCAGTTACTTGACAATAAACTCACTGCTCTCTCAGACTTTACATGCTGCTCCCTCTGCTTCTAACACTTCTTCACAGCTGAACACCCCACCCAACTCCAGCTTCTCATCATTCAGGTCTTAGTCTAAATGTCATACTTCACCAGAGAGATCATTCTCCACTAACCTAAATAAAGGAGGCACCATCTTTCCACTTCCACATTATTCTCTTCCCCAGCTCCTTGGTCCATCATGGCACATAGTTTGTGCTCCTCACCCTGTATTCCCTGTGCCCAGCCCAGCCTTGGCATGTAATAGGCACTCATGGTACACCTGAAAGCTTCGGGATCTGGCTGGTCTTGCTGCCCTGAAGTCCCTCCCATTTATCTATCTAACTTATTTTCTGTCAAAACTCAACCCAACCTTTGTTGACACCTTCTCTGGGAAGTCTCCTCAGATGTCCTAGGCTGACTCAGAGCATTCTTCTTTGCTCCCCAAATACCTGTGCCGCCCATCGCAGCTTTTATCATACTGAGTTGTAATTACTACCTTGTTTCCCCACTAAAGGGGGACAAAGAGGGCAAAGGACCAACTATTATCAGGCCGTGTATTCCTACCATATACAGTCCTCATGTCATGGCCCCAGACGCAGCTGTCTCCTGCCTCCCCAGAAGAATGGTCAAGGAGATGATTTAAGGCTGTATGAGAGTTGTTCCTGGTCACATCTGCCCTCTCTACTCCCCAAAGCTTGGGCTCCTCCAAAGGCCACTCACTTTGGCTGAGCCAAAAATGGATGCTGTCTGCAGTTCCTTGTCATCATCCTCCTTACGGGGGTGAATGACCAATGTCACATGGCAGCTGTTGTCTGTAGCGAACTTCCGGAAGGCCCCGACAATGTAGTCTTGAGCTGCAATCCTGTCCCAGCCCAACAAAGAGGTTACTGGACACAGACAGAAGGACAAGAACATATACACACTCTTTATTCATTCACATCTCCCACATTCACATTCAAACCACCCAGCCCCACTCTACCTCCTTCTTCCCAAGGACTCACACTCAGGTTTGAGTCCATACTTCCCACTGCCACATCCTACACCTCTGTAAAGCTAGAATCACACGTGTGCCTGTACACATCTCAGAAAACAAGAGAGCACAGTGTGTGTGCCTAGAGGCCAGATGCATGAGAAGACGTGTGCTCAAATGGGTTCCAGTTTGACAAGAGTCGAAAGTCACCTGTCTGTGGACAGCTGCTCGTGACCCATCATGAACTGCAGATTGTCGATAACCACATGACAAATGTCATAGACGTAGACTGCATGTTGCATTGTATCTATTACAGTCCTGGGAAGAGGAAGAGGCAACAGATTCAAGAATCAATTACAGACACCCTCCAGACCATCCCAGGCAGAAGAACCAGCATCTGGAAAACTCTGTCAGGGGCCTGTTCGCCTGCCCTCCCCTTCTTTAAAAACCCTCAGCCTGTCTTGAAGATCCACGAATTCCCACTGGAGTTGGAAAAAGAACTGAGGGTTGAGTGCTGGGATTTGTCTGGGAAAGCAAAGTGGTTTGGGTCTGGGGACCTCACCTGATACTTTGTTGCCCATGGAAAGTCATGAAATAGAGGGGAAGGTCCTCAAAGCGGTCGGCCCATTCATCATATTTGTCCAGTTGCTCTTCCAGCCGCCCCACAGCGAACTGTGTCAGCATGACCCGGGCTAGTCTCACGTTGCTGATCTCAAAGCTACCCCATAGTGTGTTCACTCCTTGGGTACACAAATCCAGGGCATACTCACTGATGAATGTTGTCTTTCCACTGCCTGTTGGCCCTGCAGGAGGATTGAACACAGACTTGGGTGAGGGAGGAAAGTCCTACCCTTGAAACTACCAAGAGACAGGTCAGGGCTTCAAGGTTAGGAGGGGAACCCTCTTTTTCAACATCTACAGCGTCCCAAATCCACATGCTTTGGCCACCTGATCCTCTGCCCCTCTAACCCAAACAATAATTTCCCAAAGGGTCACCTGTGAAGACTGTCAGCTCGCCCTTCCGATGCCCCTTTAGGAGGCGATTGAGGTCTGGAAAGCGACTCCAGCGGACGCCAGCTGCTTGCTCCACATTTGACAGTTCTCCTAGCACCTCCTCCCGAAGCTGCCGGAAAGACACAATAGACCTGTGCCAGGCAGGCAGGGCAGAACGCAGGATACGAGAAAGATTTAAGCCTTGATTCAGGGCCTCCAGGGGACGGGGCTGCTGGTCCCCAGGCCGCACCAAAGAGCATCGCTTAGGATTCAGTTTTCGAGCAAACAACTTGGCAGCTTCCCAGGACCGAAGGTCATCCCCCAGCCAGAGTACAATACGTCTGAACTGTTCAAGGTAAGGGAGTAAGGCAGGGGGTAGGCAGGCTATTCCCCTTGGTAGGGCAAGGGTGGGCAATCCCATGGATTGGTTCAAAGCCAGGCTGTCCAGCTCACGACTAGTCAGTACTACTTCAACATCTCGGCGATTGATCAGTGGTAATCCAAACAGATTGTGGAAGGCACCAGGCCGGGGAATGGTGGTCTCCACATAGTGCACTCCATCCCCCTGGCCTTCAGCCCCTACTAGCTTCAGGCCTCGCAATCCCAAGCCTCCAGGGGAGAACCAAGGAAAGACAAGACTGCGAGCAGGCCGTAGATACCGCACACTGAAACGCTTGAGTGTATCATCCGTCACCTTGGAGAGGCCAAACATCACACGAGCCAGCTGGGCTTCCTGTGGGTCAGGCAGCTCCCAGAGAGGTACTGCTCGGTCCCAGATCCTCCGGACCTCCTCACTGTCCACAGGTTCTGGGGCCTTACTGAGCAGGACCCCCTCCTTAGTTGCGTCCCCTCGCCCCTCCACACTGGCTTGGAAGTCTTCCCAGCTCCCCTCTGCTAGGCTGGCCATGCAGAGAAAGCGGCCTGTGGTCTTGTCAATGAAGAGGCTGAAGGAAGTGGTACCACCAGCATGGTCCTTGTGCTGTGAGGCCCCTGCAAAGGGGCTGGGTGCCCGCAGGCAGCTGTGGCCATCCTGGAAGGGGATCCCATGAGTCCGCAAATATTGGCGGATGTCAGTTGCAGTTACAGGCAACACTGGTACGTCTAAGGCTGGAAGAGCCTCCTTCCTGTACCGTCTGCGAGGAGGTCCTGGGACTAAGCTTCGGGGCACGCCCCTCCGACCCATCCATTCCCCACGCAGGGGCAGCAGGGTACGGAAGGGGGATCCACCTCGGAGGAGGACCCACATTCCTAGTCAAATGGAGGAAGTCACTACTTTGAAATGCCTTAGGTGCCTCGTTCTGGTGCCTTCACTAGGCCAGACTCTAGAGAGCCTCCTCACAGCGCTCTACAGAGCTCACTGTAAGTAGCTTCTTTCTCTCCTCTAACCTCTCCCCTACAAACATCCCCCTGAGCACTCTTCTGCCCCTCTACATCGCTACTTCACGTCTATGCCCACCAAAGCGAACCTTTCACGTTTGTTATTATTTGCCACGAGTTGATTCTGACTCATGTAGACCCCATGTGTGCAGAGTAAAACGGCTCCATAGGGTTTTCAAGGCTGTGACCTTTTGGAAGCAGACCACCAGGCCTCTCTTCTGTGGCGCCTCTGGGTGGGTTCCAACGGCCAACCTTTCCAGCTAGTAGTCAGCGCTTAACCGTTTGCACCATCCAAGGCCTCCTCTTTCAAGTCTATGTCCCTCTGTATGGCTCCCTCACCTCTGTGGTACCTTTACAGCTTCTCTCTACCACCCCCTCACTTCTATGACCCTCTACACCACCCCTAACCAATATGGTCTCTTTACATCATCTCTCGCCTTTACTGTTCCTCCCCGGAATCTCCTCACCCTCATCTCTACCAATGCGCCTATAAAGTCATCTACATCCTTTTTGCAGCCCCTCTGCTCTAGGCCCCCACCGAGAGTCCTCTTCGCTGCTGCTGGCCCTCAGTGGAACCCTCAACACGACTAGAGCGCCTCTCCAAGGCCCCTGCCAATCTCTGAGCCCAAAAGAATGCCCACTTCCCTATCCACTCCTGCGTCCTCCCCCGGCTTTACTACTAGGAGCTCCGCGCTTCCAGACCCTGCTCCCGACTCACAACTTTCCTCTCACCCCTTTCGCCCGCAACATGGGTCAACCGCACGCGCCACTCGCCTTGACCTCGGAAGCGAAACTCCGCCCGGGCTCCTCTGAACCGGAAGCGACGGGGCTTAGTCCCGCCTCCTCTCCTCGCCGCTTGGCTCTGGGGCTTCTGAGCTGTCGCCATGACTGCGCGAGGTACTGCCAGCCGGTTCCTGACCAGTGTCCTCCACAACGGCCTGGGTCGCTACGTGCAGCAGCTGCAGCGTCTCAGCTTCAGCCTCAGCCGCGACTCGCCCTCGTCCCGCGGTGCCAGGTGAGCCAGGGGAAGGGCAGGGGAATGGTTCCGGGCAGAGGTCGCCCAGGGTCAGAGGCCACCCTGCTCACTCTTTCTGGTCCTTCAGGGAGTTCGTGGAACGGGAGGTGGTCGACTTCGCCCGGCGGAACCCGGGGGTCGTAATTTACGTGAACCCGCGGCCGTGCTGCGTGCCTAGAGTAGTGGCGGAATACCGTGAGTGGGCAGGGCTGGGGATGGAGGGTGGGCTGAATCGGGGCTCCTCCGGCTCACCTTCCGCTCAGAGTCCTCTCCCGTCCACCCGCCCCAAATCAGTTAACGGGGCTGTGCGCGAGGAGAGCATCCACTGCAAGTCGGCCGAGGACATTGCGACGCTGGTGCAGAAGCTGGCCGACCAGTCGGGCCTTGACGTGATCCGCATCCGCAAGCCTTTCCACACGGACAGCCCTAGCATCCAGGGCCAGTGGCACCCCTTCATCAACAAACCGACAGCACCCGGCGGGCTGCGCCCCCGAGAGTTCCAGGATGCTGCCCCAGCCCAGTGACAAGTGGTCCCACTCACTCTAACCCCAGGCTCTGGACTCTTCCCCCCTTGCAGAGGTGGTTCTTCCTCTTTTGGCTCAGGGGATTCCATGGCCAGGCAGACAAATGGAGCTCACCCATGGGGAAGCTGACGCCAAAGTTTTTGCCAGGGATAGAGTTGCCTGTTTATTTTCGGTGCCCACTGCTAGGGACAGTGACTTTGTGAAACTCCTTATCCTTATCGGCTGGCATCTCTGAAACCTGGAAGCTCTCAAGAGTTTCACAGGGCCTTCATTTTCTGGAATCCAAATTGGTAATAGTGATCTCAAAACGCGGTGAAGGGCTCAAGCCTGGCTTCTTCTGAAGAATCTGCGATGTCCTGTTGCTGCAACTGTTGAGCCGGAGAGCTAGCACCTTGTTTTCTGCTGTGAGCCTGGCATTGCGCTAGGCACTTTATATGTGTGAATATTTGTATACAGATTAGAAAACATGTTAATAAACTTACCTAAGGTGACGTCTGAGGTCTTACTTCAAAATGTGTGCATATTTTAAACATAAGACCTGTTTTTTCATTATTCTAAAACCAGAAGCAGAACACATAACAGGGTGGTTAGTGCCAAAGGCCATGTGATTAATTTAGGCCTGACCTCTGGAGGGTGTGATTCTCAGGCCGGGTCCCTGGTAACAAGCTTTTCTGCCCTCTAGTTGCCCTATCCCTCTCCCCCTGCCCCTCTTTGTTCAGAAATCAATTCATGTCTTCCCTTGAGGGAGGTAGAGGATTTTGAAAAGCTTCTTGGGGAAGAACAGGAGGGCTGATAAATAAGGAGCATCATCCAGGCTTAGTTAAAAAGGGTGAGGAAAAAAGTAGGAAGTAAAAACTAGACACTTGTATAAATTCTCGAACCTGTAATTCCCTTGTTTGTCATGCCCTTATCACCATGATCAGTGAATAGTTTGAGCCCAGGCAGCCAGGATGGAAGCTGAGGATCCCAGTTTCCTCTGCAAATGGTTCTGTGGAGAGCACAGCCAAGCTTGGATGCAAAAATCACTATAGCATCTTCTCCACAGGCTCAGAAGCCTGTCCCCTGGTGACCAGGGAAAAGCCAATCTAGACCAAGCAGACCATTCACAGCTGTGGGAAAGGGTATTTATTAACCAACGGGGGGAGGAGCTGAGCCTAGGCTCCCCACTCTGTCACATGCCTTTTCCACCCACCTGGGTGGTGAATGGGGCATTCCTAAAGTATAGTCGTTCTCACAATAAATACATTCATTGTGGGATGGAGGTGGGAGAGGCTGGATGAAGGGCAGTAAAAACCCGTGGGATTCCACGTTCTCAGCTACAAAAATAACAGTCTTCCTCACCCAAGGGGACTGGGGGGAGCTCAGTCAGGATTTGATTGTCCCATATGGGCCTGGAGACTTCTGAGGCCCCTGGACCCTAAAAGTGCCCCGGTGAGGTAGGACAGGGGTGGGAGCCAAGCATCCAAACTCCCAGCCTCTGCCCTTTGCATAGTTCCAAGAAAGGGCTTCATGTGCCAGGGGAGACATCAGATCGCTCCTCCCTTCCCCTGTGTGCTGGTCTGGGGGTAGCAAATGCTTGATCCCCAAAAGGGAGGCTGGCTCATTGAGTGCAGTGTTGGTCACCCATCCTAGGGAAGGGTCTGCAAGGATAGCTAAACGGGAGGGGGACCTCCCTCTGAAATGTCAATGGACCAAACCCGAGAGACACATGTCCACAGCAGCAGGGGGAGACTCAGAAGGTACATGAGTCGAAATATAAGCACATTTGTAGTACAGTATGTGTTTCCATGTGTGTGTGAGGGAAATGCCTGGAGCTCTGTCTTCGTCACTCAGGAGTGACCAAGGGGAGTGGGGAGGCTGACTCACAGGGGTGCACAGGAAGGGAGAAGAGGGGAATGATGCAGTCTTCTCTCCCTAGGCTGGCCTGTGCCCAGACTCTGCCAGAGAGGTCACTACATGGGGCTGTGACTAGAGGAGGGGATGAGATAAGATGGGATGTGGCAGTTGGGAGGGCATCCAAAGTCCAAAGGATGAAACACAAGAATGCACCAGGAGAAGGTGGGGTGGGGGCACTGCAGCCCAGCAGATTGACATTTTTCCATGTGCACGTGTGAATAGACACAGGGCTCAAGTGGCTCTGGTGTCTGGCAGAGGTCTCCTCTGGCTTCAGGACCATCCAGCACGCAGGGCCATGCAGAGGGTGGTGACATGAGACCATCTGGACCTGCAGAGCCCTGCCTGGAAGAAAGGAAGGGTTTCGGCAGGAGGATGGCATCCTCTCCTCCCAAGCGCTTAGGTTAAGGGGCTAGGAATCAGGGCTGGGTATGCAGAGCTCCTGGTCCTGGGGAGCACCTACCTCTCAGGAGCACCAGTGAGCCCGGGCTGCTCTCACATGGGTCTTTGGAGACTGAGGAGGGGACTTTGGCTGGGCCTGACTGGCCAGTCCTACAGGGACATCAAAAAGTTGGAAGAAGGCTCTAGAATGGGGGATGTGAAGTAGGGTGGCTGCGTCGGGGAGGCACCGGCCCAGCCCAGGGCTGATGGGCTGGCTTGGCAGAGCATTTCTCTCGGACCCAGCTCAGACGGAGCTCTCATCAAGCTGCTCTACAAGCTGCGTGTGCTTCCTCTTCTCCAGGATGCGGCTGAGCTCCTCAGCAAAGGAGCAGGGTCCTGCCGGCACTCCGTTGTCACTCTGCCTCAGGAGCACATAGCTGTTTCCGTTCATCCTGCGTAGCCGGCTGGGCAGTGCCACCAACCCATTGGTCAGCTCAGCTGGGGGTGGTGGGGGTGGCGGGGGAGGTGGGGCTGGGGCTCCCTCCCCAGGGATGATCTGGAGGCAGCTGCCCTCCAGGCCCCCAGCCCCCTCCCCATCATCACCCTCATCTTCCTCTCCAGGACACTGGCCGGAGACAGTCTGCAGCTGCACGGCAGATCCCCCTGCACGGCCGGCCCGGCCCAGTGAGTATTTCCGTCTGCGCCCTCGTCCTCTTCCCCGCAGACAGGCCACATAGAGGAGGGAGGAGGCCAGGATGAGGCAGAGGCCACCAAGTGCAGCAATGGCTAGCACATAGAACAGCCTTACATCGGGCCCTAGTTGGGCCCCAGGCATAGCAGGGGCCTGTGGAGCTGGGGCAGGAGTGGCTGGCCGGACAGTGAGGCTGTAGGAGGCCAGCAGAGTGCGGAGGCCATTCTCCTCAGCATAGCAGCCATAGTTGCCGCTGTGCTCAGGCTGTGTGTCTGTCACCAGCAGCCCATCCACACCCACACGGTAGCCATCGTGCCCATCGCTCAGGCTCATGCTCCCATTGAGCAGCCACAAGGCCCGGGCCAGGTTGGATGGCTGGTCACAGGGCAGGAGGACATCATCACCCCGGAGCACGGAGCGGGTCTTCAGTGGTGGTGGTGGCTCTGGGAGGGGGGTGCAGGAGGAGAGGTCAGTGCCTGCCCATCGCCAGGGGAGCACTGGAGATGGCAGGCCAGATCATTCACTGCTAAGTCCCCTGCACAAGCACAGTATCTGGAGTCCCAGTGACAGCTGACCAAGCACTCTCCACACATGCTGCCACATAAGGTTCACATTGACCCTCCCAGGAAGAAGCCAGTGCCTTGGGCCTCTTCTTTTCTCTCTCCATGCTCTCATCTTCTCCTGTGGCTTCAATTCCTGCCATCTGCCAATGACTCCCCAGACTCTACCTCCAGCCCAGACCTCTGCTGAACGCCAGACTTGAACATGCTACCACATGCTAAACATCTCCACTTGTAGTCTCTGAGGTACCTCAGAGAAACTGAGGCCAAAGCCTCCTCCCAAAGTACTCCAGGTCCTCTCCTTGAATTGCCTATCACCGTGAATTGCCCATCACCAGCTACTCAGTTGCTTAAGCACAAACCTGGGGTTCTCCCTTGCCTCCTCTTTCCCCTTCACCTTTGTATCCAACCCTCACCAAGATTCTGCTTCCAGAATCTATCTCAGACCTGTTTGCTTCTCTCCTTCCACAGCTGCCAGCACTGCTCTGGCCCCATCTAATCCATTCTTCATCTAGTGGTGGGGTGATGTTTTAAAAACACAAATCCTGCCTCAAACTCCTCAGAGGTTTCCTGTTGCTGTTCAGATAAAGACCAGAATCCTCAGCATGGCCCCTGCTTACTTCTCTAGCCTCTTCTGATGCTCAGACACCCTAACATCTCTCTGCCTGCTGTTTCCTCTGCTTGGGTGTCATCTTCCTACCCTGAGCCCTCCACTTGCCTTATTAATAGCACAGTAGAACATAGTGATTAAAAGCACAAACTCTGGAGTCAGACTGCTTGGGGTCAGGTTTGAATTCTGACTGTGCTGCTTAATAGCTGATTAACTTTGGACAGTTTACTTAACCTCCCTATGCCTCAAAGAGGTTGTCCCTCATGGGGGTAATATGGCATCTATCTATAGAAATGCTGTGAGAATAAATGAGATCATGCAAATAAGCATTTGATCAGTGCCTGGCACATAGCTAGTACTCAATGAATGTGAGCTATGAAGATTAACGTGGCTCTTCCTTCAGGTATCAGCTCAGTCATCAGTGCTTCCTTAAGGAAGTGCCCATTGTCCTTCTGAACACTTGTCATAGCTGTAATTATTCCTTTTGTAATAAAAAAACAATGAAAAGAATTAATTGTAATTAATCATTTGTGTGATCATTTGATTGCCTGCCCCACCTTCACCACCACAGAAGTGACTAGACACTTCTCATTTTGGACCTGTCTCATTTATAATTCACCTGGGCAGCAAATGTTTGTTCAGCACTTACTATGTGCCAGGCTCTGTGCTGGGTGCTGCAGATGCAGAGGTGAACAAGACAGGCCCACACGGCCCCTCTCCTCACGGAGCTGACTGGTAACAGTTCTCTCAGTCCTCTGCTCTGCTCACTATTCAAAAGCCTAACCGTCATACTCACTGAAAGCACACAGACACAGACACTCAGAGACACAAACATGAAAGGGAATAGGCCTACAAACATCCATGAGTGCCACTGACCTGTGTCCCTGCTGCCCTCACAGCCTCGGTTTCCTCTCTCTATGTCCTGTATCAGTGCTGTCCTGGAGACAGAGGATTGAGATTCATGAACACGGAGAACTGGGTTTCAGTTTCCCCAGCAAAAGGCTCGACGAGGCTGTTAAACAACTGGCCCCCACCCCCCTAAAGTTAGCAGTGCTTCCTCCACTCAGGGCCTCACCCTGGGCACATATGACCTCACCGCCACCACCTCCCACCCTCTACTCTGACACCTGTTGGCTACGGTGGTGGCCACCATGCAGGCACGGGTGCTGGGGTCCCAGCCACAGTAGGGGTCCCGGGCCAGGATGCAGTCGTAGCAGGAGCGGTAGCGGGAGCAGCTGGACAGTGGTAGCTGGATGACTCCACTAGGGGCCCCCACATAGAGGCTGTGCTGAGAGCCAGAGAGGACAGCTGGTCGGCATTGCCCCCAGACAACACACCCAGCCACTGCCCAGCCTCCCATCCCAGAAGGCCACATGGAGGGTCACAGGTCAGGGGCTACCTGTGTTGGAGAGATGACCAGATTCTCCACAGACTGGGGCTCCCTTAGCACTTGTGTCTCTTCAATGATGTGCATCCCAGAGCCGAGGACCACGGCCTTGTGGATCCACCCATCAGCTGGCATTGAAAGGGCAGAGGGTCAGTGAGATCAGACCTAGCAATGGGGTCTGCTCTAAGCCCCCACAACAGACCTGATGGGAGCAGCTTGGCTGACATGAGGTCAGGGGCAAGGATTCAGCCAGTAGCAGTGGGCGCTCAGGACACTGGGAACTCTGGGTTAGTCATGGCAGCAATTATTGGGTTTAGAAGCATTAGCAATCAGGGTCAAATGTCACTGTGGTTGGTGACAGGAGTTAGCAGTCACCAAGAGTCAGTGGTCACCAGGGGCCAGGAATGAATGTTCACTGAAGCATCAACATTGATGGTCACCAGAGTTTTGTGATAAAGGGTCATCTAGGGGACTGGGGGTCAACAGGGATCAAGGGTCAGCAGTCACCAGAGGGCTCAGGCCAGGGGTCAGGAGCACCTGTGCCCAGAAAAAGCAGGTCATAGGTGAGTCCAGCAGGTGTGGTGACGGGTGTCCCTGTGAGGTGTGTGTAGCGCACACTGCGCTTGAGCAGCAGGGGCCGTCCCCGTGTGGGCACCACAGGCCGAGCCATCAGTGGGTGCAACTTCACAAAGTCCAGGACCAGGGAAGGCAGATCCCGGGATGAGTTGTAGCCTTGGCTGCGCAGTGAGTCT